CTCCCTACGGGAAGCGCGGGGGCCGGTAGGAGCAGGACGCGGAGGCCTGCGGGGCTGCAGGTGACAGGGACAGCGCGTGGGGCGGTGACCGCAGCTCCGACACGGCTCCTCACGGCGCAGGGAGCCCCGCGGGGTCCAGCACTCATGTCCACAGGCAAAGAGAGAAGCAGAGAGGGGATTTCTAGGACTGTTGGGTGCAGGTTTACGGCAAAACAGCTTCCCCCTGGTTTGTTTGAAGCACTTCCCTGCTCAGAGCCCTTCAGCCGGGAGCAGCCGCTTCCCGCAGCGCAGCCAGGGCTGCTCCCGGGGCCTCGCGTCCCTCTTGATCCCCAAGACGAGGACATTCCAGGTCACTAAAATCCTTTCCCTCATACTCAGGTGCAGCCGCCCTGGTGGTCCCCAGGGCCCAATCTTGGGTTCAACGGGAGCCTTTTTAGCCTGTCGCTAAGACCCTTTGTTGAATTGTCTTTGTTTTCTTTGTGCCTGCACCTTGCAGACTCTGACTCTGCCGATTCCCCGAGCGCCTCCTCCGCCCTCACCTCCCTGCAGTGGGTTGCAGAGATACTTCCCTCTAGCATCAAGATTCAAGGAAGGACCTTCAACCAGCAGCTGGAACATCTGCTCACCCCACCTGAGCGCTATACCATCTGCAAAGCGCTCGAAGGCTTCTTCCAACATCGGTAACTCGTTAGCAGCTCCATTCCTTTAATGCTGGTAATTGGACCGGTTGCAATCTCCGTATCGGAGAGGGAGTCTTGAATCAAAGCACTGACACAGAAAACGGATCTCAGATTTGGAGGCTCTCACTGCCGCGCTCTGCCCTGATTATTTTCTCTAATTTCCTCAGCTGTATTTTCCCCAGTCAGTATCCCACAGAGAAAGAGCTGAGGCACGAGCCCATTTCTTGCCTGGTGTCCTGCCCAAGGACAGGTCAGACCCATTAATTTGGGAGGTTAATTCAGTCACCACTTAATCCCACATGAACGTGACCTTGATCTCCTCACCGCACAGGACTCTCTTGCTGCCCGGCCAGCCCCGTGGCAGCAGCACATCCTGTTCTGCCTCTTTCAGTGAATTCTCACCGCGTTTCATCCCCGTCTCCTTGCTCTTTTCAGCGTCTTGGCTGCAGCATCCCTTGGCTGTAGCTGGCGCAGCTCCTTCCTGTAACCGAGCACGGCTCTCCGCCCCGTTGCAGGGGTTGAAACTGATCCTTTGGCGGCCTCAGGGTTTTCAATAGCGACCTTGTTTTCTGCCCTTGGTCTGCAGTGGTTGTGCAGGGCTGTGATGCAGGGCTGCCCCGCGGAGCAGCTCCCGCCGCAGGCTGCGGATCCGCAGGGCGCTCCGACACCCGGACAGGCTTCTGCTGCCTTCATGCAGCACATTGCTTGGATACAGATAGGGATCAGAGCATCTGATATCTTAATTAGACGAGGAAATGCAGTAAACCCTTCCGTATTTAGGCTATGGATGTTAAGAGATGACAGAAAACAGCAAGCACAGAGCACTGGGGCTGCCCACACCCCAGGGCTCCAGCTCAGGGCTCAGGAAGCCTCCCCTGCCGCTCGGCTCCGGATCCTCTTGACTCCCAGTGATGTCCAGCCCCGCGCTCTAAAGCGGGGCCCATTGCTTTGGACAGCCCTGCGACTGCATTCTCTCCACATGGATTCCCCAGCCAGGCATTCCCAGCCAAGGGTGCTGCAGGGTAGACACCAGCCATTAGGAGATCCAGTGGGATCAGAGCCTGGGTGCCGAGGAAGGTCTCCAGGTCTCCTTCCCAGCCGTGGGGCTCAGCCCCAGGACTCGGGCGCTGCTGCCCGTCCCGGGGTGTCTGAAAGGAGCCCCCGGGGGCAGAGCCGCCCTCTTCCCGCCCGGCTCCTCCTGCCTGTTCCTCCCCCAGCTGATCGAGAGCAGCAGCTGCTCCGTGTCACGGCAAGACATCATGACCTAGTTCTGTGCCTGGCCCAGACTCGCCAGCTGTGACCGTGGCTGCTCCGGCAGCGCTGAAATCCCCAGTGCTGGATTCACAGCGCTCGCAGCTCCGAGTGCGGATACGAGTGTTTCCCAAGGGTGAACGCGGGAGCTGGACACCCCCGTCCGTGTTCCCGGCCCTCCAGACATCGCGCTCCCGGCAGGTCACCCGCACTGGCTCCGTACTTACCCGTCAGGACAGAACGGCCCCTGCACTCGGCAACCCTGCAGTATCTTGACTTTTCTGAAGGGGAAATGGGGCTTGAGACAGTCCAGAGATGGGTCCAGCTTCCTAGAAAGGGAGAGTGAGCAAAGGGATTAAGAGACCGATCCCCGCAGCCAAGGAAGCCATCCCAGTACCCGGACGGCTTCACCCTTCGCTTCTCCCCCCACACAGTCCCTGCTCTCTGTAAAACCTGATGGTCCATTTGAGTAACATCGAGGTAAAAGATCCATTCCTAAATATCAACCTTCTTCCGGCTACTTGTAGGAGTTTCTTAGTATTGCTCCTACATTACAGATGTAATAGTTGCAGTGAGCTGTAGTCTCTGATCTGTTCTTACTAGTAGACAGGCCTGTCTCTGATCCTCCGAGCTGCCTTTCCTCAGCTGAGACCAACCCTCGGAAAGCAAATCCCTGTGGGACAAGGTCTCCCATCCCAGCAGGTGTTCTAGCCCTCTCCCCACATCCAGGGCTCAGGCCTCACAGTCTTCTGTCCAAATCTTACTCTCCTTCAGACTCTGTTTTCTGGGTCACTCTCATCCCACCTGCCACAACCCCAAACTCCCTCCTTGGCCTCTTGGCTTCTCCACCCCCTGCTCCCATATCCTGCAGAGCCCTGAACCAGCTGTTTTATAGTTGCCATCAGAAACTACCAGGTGCTGGCGGATTCCCTTCCCAGCAGCTGTGCTGGAGAACCTTCCTGCCCCAGGTCCCACTAACGGGCCGAGTCCCTTGCTAGGAGGTGGCATCTCTGCTTCTAAGCGGCCGGTACCTTTATGCCAAAGTCCAGGGTACAGTGGCAGCTGAGATGGAGCTAGAGCCAGGATGGGAAGCACAGGAGACCTGCGGAGTTGTGTGAGGGGAGGATGCAGCTCAGGATGTGCTCATTGCCTAGTCCTCTCTTTCCAATTTTACAGGAATATTGACACTCTTATTGTGGATGTGTACCCGGTGCTGGACACACCAGCCAAGCAAGTGATCTGGCAGTTTATCTACCAGCTGCTGACCTATGAAGAGCAGGAGCACTGCCAGCAAAAGATTGCCAGGTTTCTGGGTTACAAGTCCTTGGCAGGTGAGAGGAACGTCCCTGCGGCGGGCACGGAGGTGCCGAGCCCGGCCGCTTCCCTAGGGAGCTCGGCAGGCGGAGGGGACGTCCCCATGGAGCGGCCCCGCACGCGGCCTCGTCCCTGTCCCTGCTGGCTCCAGTCGCAGCGGCCGAGGGGACCGTGCGGGAGCGGAGCAGCGCGGGAGCTGCCTCCAGCTCCTCCTGCTGATGTGGGAATGTGAGACCCGAGGTGGCTTCTGCACCACGGGACCGTGTAGGTTGGAAGGAGGCTCTGCTTTAAGGGGAAAGAAGGATCTTATCTTTGGGAGCAAAAGCTTGTGGGATCTGCTTAGTTTGTCAGGGGTCAAAAACTCTCTAGGGGAGACAGGCGGCCCAGGAGTAGGTGTTGGCAGAAGTCAGGTCAAATAAGGGATGAGAGCGGCGTCGCTGGGGTATCTCCAGCACCCGGATACAGGGGCAGCGCGGCCAGGGGTCAGCTAGAGTGTCCTGGAGCGGCTGCACGAGCGTGGAGGTGGGAAGGGTGCAAAGCGTCTGCAGGGAGGGCGGCTCTGCCAGACAGACCGCGAATTCCATGCGCAATTCCCGCGGCTCCGCTGCGGAGGAGTCTGCGCTCGGCCTCTCCTCTCACCTCCCCGAGGTGTTGCGGTGGCAACCTGCAAACCAGCCGTGCTCTGAGGAGGGTTTGGGGCTTCGCATTTAGACAGCAAAAACAGTGCAGGGCAAATTCCGAAAGAAAGGTTTTGCTCTTCGGATTTGGGCTGCTTGATTCCTTTCAAACTGCTCTATTCTAAGCTATTTACATTCTGTTGGTATGCTCATTTGAAACTCAACATAGGTAAAACTGTAGGAAAGAGGGGCTGTTTGAAGAGATGCTTTTTGAGGAATGGTCATTTTAACACGGCCTCTCCCTGGGAGGCTCTTGCAGTCCTGGTGCAAGGATCCCGGACTGTGCATGGCAAAGGGCTGTTTGCTCATCTAATTCAAACTCTTAATTATAACTGCTGTTGTGTGCGCAGAAAAATGGCCAAATGTACAGAAATCTGTATGCATTCCTAACAATTTAGACCCCTAAAGTTACAAGCACCAAAAAGCATTAGAAGGAATTTCATACAGTTTCAGTTTGCAGTTGTGTTTTAGAAACAAATAATAGGTAACCTCAGCCATTTCCAGGGGCCTTGGAGCAAATGCTGGAGAGCCCTTCCAGGAGCGTTGTCCTTGGTTGGCACATTGGTCCCCGAATCCCAGGTGCTCCCACGCGTGAAGAAGCCGTTTGTGACCGTTTGCAGTTCTCAATGTCTCAGAGCATTATGTGCATCCGTCTTTGGAAGCACGATGAATCTGGGTTAGTTCTTCACTCGGGCTTATTCCAAACTTGGTGACTGTCCCTGTTTCTGGGTATGGGGCTGTGTGAGCGCTGCTCTGTTTGATCCCATGGTGTCGGATGCTCTGGCCCCTCGGTTGTGCTGCAAGTCTGAGCCCCTCTGAGCTGTCACACTGGCTACCCCACGTGAGGATATGGCTGCTGCAGGCAGCACTTCAGTGCTCCATCCGCATCCCGTGAGCGAGGAAGCGCTTAGCTGGATCCCTCTGGATCAAGGCTGGAGCTTCTCCTGCAGAACAAGCTCATGTAGCCCAGCGCTGCTGCATAAAAACCCAACTGCAGTTCCCCCACCC